CAGAACCCCCCACCCCACCCCTGCCTTTTCCCCTATTGCCGGGAAATGCGTTAATTAATTAATAATTCTCGGTGAGCATCCCTAAAGTGGGGGCGTTGCTCCATTCCTTGAGGTATTTCAAGGCTATTTTGGAGGGGAAGAAAACAAAAGCCCTGGAGAGTGCTGGGCACAGCTGCCCCTGCTGCTCCCCAGCTTGGTGCCTCTTCCCATCTCAAACTCCCATCTCGACTGCCCAGTACCACAGAAATCGGAGCGGGTGATCGGGCAGAGCTGCGACTGCCCTTTTACCTGCATGGAGCAGCTTTTTCCCTTCAGAAAGGGCTGCCGTGAGCCTGCCCCGCTTGGGCTTCGTCGCCGCAGCGCAGGAGTCGTGCGGAAGGTGGGAGTTAAAGCGCCTGGGCGAGAGGGTTTGCCGGGTGATTTGTGTGTGGAGGCTGGATCCGCTTTGGGATCCGTGTGGATGAAGCTCCCTGTCCTGCTGGCTGCAGAGCTGAGGGGTTGGGGTCTCTTGGGGCTGCAGCCCAAAGGCCTGAGCGCAGCTTTGGTACTGCTTAAATTTTAGCTGGGAAGCAAGCGAGGCGTTTCGGGGTGTCGTGAACCCAAGTGGAGCCCTGGCTGTAGGTATCGAAGCGGTTTAAGACAGCATGGGTAGCACTGTGTGAGCTAGGGACGCGTTTTGGGACTGTGCTGAAGACGTGTCCTGAGGTACCGACCTTCTCGAGGAGCCCAAGGGCAGCAGCGGCGGTATCCAAACACCTGCCGAAGTTCCTGAATCCACTTGCAAAAGCAACAACCCTGGTGCGAAATCAGCTCGCTCCTTGTCCTCGGTGTTTTAGCTCCCTGGTGCAAAAATGTGTCTGTTATGATACCCTCTGGATGGAGAAGAAACACTTAATGAGAGATACCATTCTTGTATCTTAAATATATATAGAAAATGAGCATGATGCATTAACTGGCATTTGGGCTAGGCTTTGTCAGAGAGTGAAATAGGGGGAAAATCCATCTGGCAGCAGCCCAGGCTTTAACCGTGCTGTGAATCAGTACCCAGGTCTGTGGTTTCAATACTGTTCTTGGTGTTAATCTTGGTCCAGCTACTTGTTCTGCTGCTCTGGGCTAATCCAAGGGGTGGATTGAGCTCCCACCCGTTTGCGTGGTTGGAGAGAAAATAAATCTCTATGCCTTTTCCTAATATTTATTTAAATGAAAATTACAAATAAACTTCTAGTCACTTACTACAAACTGGAGAAAGAGATTTCTGATTCTCCAGCTTTCAGCTAGTAAAGGTTGCCTGTGACTCAGGAACTCCATGAGTCAAGTCCTTCCTCCTGAAACTTTCTGGATGTTTTTCAAAGCTCTGGCTTAATTCCTGGATTTACTAATTGGGCGAGAACTTCCTGGAATCAGGATGTTAGTCTGAAGTTTTTTGTTTTGTTACCGATCTGAACAACTCCTATTTTGGCTATTGTATGTCTGTTGCAGACCCAGCTTGGTTTTAGGCCAATTTTAAAAATAGATATTTTTTTCTTCTTTCTTTAATTTAATTATTTTGCCATGACACTGCAATTGTAGCGAAAGTGGATCAAGGAAATTTGGATCTTTCAGGTGCTTAACAAAATCTAGTAATAATGTGATTAAATAATTGTATGTTGCTGTGTGAATGGCATGGCTTTGGATGCATCATATATTCTTGAAAAGCAGTAACATATATGAGTAATACAAAACCAGTGTGGTTTATTGTTGGAAGTGTGGTCAACCCTTTAAAGAATATGAAAGCAAGTCAGGATTCCTGAGTTCTATCTTTAGTCACTGACACGCTGTTTGATATTAAGTCAGTAATGTGGAGCTTGACTGCACTACCCTTTCTCTTGAATTGAAGTGTGGAATGTGATGAGTAATTAACATTAAGCTGTTAATGTAATGTAATGCAATGAATGCCTTAAAGCCCTTCCTCCTGTGTAGGAGAAAAGCATAAGCAGTTGCTTGGATCTGCTTGTTCCACTGTTGGGTAGCATCTTCGAGGATAAAGTCCTCCCAGCGCCTGAGTTGGGCGTATGTTTGGTCAGTGAATTGCACCTATGCTGCTACTGCCTGTGGAGCACCTCTGTCCTGGGCTATTGCTGAGGCACATCTCATAGAACCAGTAGTAGTATATAAAACAAAGCCAAGAAACAGCCCGAATGCTGTGAATTCAAGTCAAAATAATAATCATTTTAAAGAAGCTTTACTGCATGTAAATCACAGGTAGAATAGGGAGTGGAATGATGGTTTGTGGTTATCTTTTTTGAATGCAGCTGAAGGTAAAGTTCACTCTTTTGCTTGATTGATTGTGAAAACAGATGTATGTTTTGCATATTTCTTCTTTGGGATGACTGCTGAGAGATAACGCATGGTTGTGACATTCATAAAATGCTCCAACTGGTTGGTTGGTGTCTCTGGAGAGTCAGTGTCAAGACGTATTCAGGTAAAAATCTGTATCTACTATGTAATATCAGGAAAAGTTACTGTTGATCAAGGCAAGGACGAGGGCAAATAACAGCTGACTTGTGATAATGGAGTGATATAGCTATATATAGCCATTAAATAACAAGAAGGCAAGTTCAGTGAGGTTTTGTCTTCGTTATGGTTTAAAAAAATAGTAAGTCGAATAAAGATCAAAGCTGAGTTCAGACCGCTGGAATTTAAATCTAGCTCGTCTTCATCAAAAACTGGTGAAAGGGAAATAATTTGTATGGACCTTTTTTTCTAAATAAAAAGGAGTATAATGTTATCGGTGTACTGCTGTATTGTAAAAGTTAGTGAGTGGTTTTATCTCTGTAATTCTCTTGCCCAAAATTACCTGATTGCAGGGCAGCTGTCTCTTGCAGCTGGGCAATGGGGTGAACTTGATGGATCCAAGCTTCCAGCAAAAACTGGAGGGGGAGAAGGAACTAATTCGTCGAGCTATTCAGAAGGAACTGAAAATTAAAGAGGGAGCAGAAAACCTGCGCAAAGTGACAACAGACAAGAAAAATCTTGTGCATATAGAACATGTTCTGAAATCCTCCAACCGGAAGCTGGAGCAACTGCACTGGGAACTTCAGGAACTTAATGCAAGGATTGTAATAACAGACAAGGAGGAGAGTAAGACAGGTAGGTTTGGGGACATGATTGGCAGGAAAATCTCTTTAGATAGCTTCATCTCTATTTATTTTCTGTTAAGGCTCATGAGTAGTGGGCGTTTCTCCTGTGGATACTCAGCTCATGAAATTAGCTGTGCAGTGAAAAGTTAGGATTGGGGCAAACAAGGTGAAAAGAGGCAACGCAAGAGAGCAGTGTGGGGAGAAGACCATGTGAGTCCTCTCATTCCACGTGAGAGTGTTGGGTATGGATGATGTCCAGGAGGAGGCTGTAGATGGATATTCAGCTGTGCAGAAACTCTGTTTAAATCTCTTCAATTCCAAGTACTTGATGGGATGAATGCTTATAAAATTGGAAGAGTGCTTGTTAATGCTGGGTCACCAATAAATTAGAAAATATTTAGGTGTTTGAGCTTCATTTGAAATAGTACTTTGCAGCTAGTTTTGTAGGTGAGATCTTTTTATCTCTTCTTCTATAACATAACCTTCTGTTGTAGATTGATTATAACTGAGTGAGATAACACAGGAAAAGATGCCTAATGGTATTGACTGTGTTGTTGCACAGATGGCTCTTTATCTCCAGATCCTTGTCTTTGGGAGAGGACTCCAGGCCCTATGGCCAGAAAGATTGAAGCTCTGAAAAGGCAGTTGCATGTTGAAATGAAAGTGAAACAAGGTGCTGAGAACATGATCCAGCTATATTCAAATGCAACATCCAAGGTAAGGAGGAATAAACCATGTGGGAAAAGGGATTCCTGAAACACACTTAGTATTTAAAGTCCTCAAGCACAGGGTCTCTCTGGTAATTGGAGTGTGAAAGAAATCAATTTGTGAAGCCTGCTTGACTGAATCCTTTGTATTTTGGTGTTCAGCACTGTAAGAGTGTGTCATGTTATTCCATGGGACAACTGGTATCATGAATGTTTGTGCATCAGGCTTGTTGCAGTGTGTGAACAGTTTTCAAGAGTTTAGGGAGAATTGGAAATGAATTGGATGGTGCATGTTTTATGCATCAAGAGCTTAAGCCCATCTCTAACAACTGGATGTTATGAGAAGGCTTTTGTGGAAGGGTGATTTATTCCACTTCTGCCTGAGATGTGTTTTTTGTTCTTTCTTTCCACAGGAGCGGAAGCTGCTGGCTACAGCTCAGCAGATGCTTCAAGACAGCAAGACTAAGATTGAAATAATCCGCATGCACATTGTGAAGGTCTCTCAGTCAGCAGGAGGGATCGAAGATGCAGTGGATCCATCTGGTAAGATGTTTTAATTAACTGATACATCTTGGCACAGAAGTGGCCAAAGCTCCAGGATCCCAAATACTAGATGAGTTTGCATCTTTGTCAAATTTTATCTCCAAAATGACCAGTGAGGATGGGAACCACCATCAGCGCTTTGGAGCTGCGCATTGAGGAGCTGAGACATCACCTGCGCATTGAAGCAGCTGTAGCTGAGGGGGCAAAAAATGTGCTGAAGATCCTAGGAGGGAGCCGGGTGCAGGATCGCAAGTTTTTGGCCGAGGTGAGAGCTTGTTCACACCTTCTAGAGAGGTGTTTCATGCTTCAGCTGAATGATTTAGGACGAATGAGGAGAGAGAGACATTAACCGAGAGTTACAAATCTGGGAAATTCCCAACTGTCTGTGAGGACCCACTGATTGAGATCACTTTCCTTTCTATGGATAATATTCCTTGCTTTCCCAGAATTTCTCAGGAATATTGGAAGTGGGGCTGATGGTGTTTCAGGGTCAAGGGAAAATATTTAACTTACTAGTTAGATTAATTAGATACCTATTAGTAAAGTATCAGCCAGCTTTTTTGTTGAGGCTGGCTTTCACAGTTCATTTAAAGTTCATTTAAATATATATATATTACCAGGAAAAGGACTGTTTGCTCAAAATTTCTGACTGCTCTCTGTTCTGCTTCATATTGCTAGGCTCAGGGTCGCTTGCACGAGTCCTCTCAGAAGATTGATCTGCTGCGCTTGTCCTTGGAACATCAGCTTGGTGAGCTTTCTCCTGATCACCCAAAGCAAGCGCTCATCAAGCAGGAACTAGTGAATACTTCCTCCCTGGGCGCTCAGCATGGCAACATCCAACCTACTTCAGTCATCAAACCCACAGCTCTTACAGGTACTTAAATCCAGCATGGCATGTTGTTGTTGGGAGGTTGTTGGAAAGGATGGGTTGTGTCTCTTCTTGCTGTTGTGATACCTCTTCATACGGATGTTTGATTTTTCTAGGAACTGGACTTATTTCTTGCAGGCCAGTAAAAGCTTTCCAATGGTACGGATTTGCAGGCTACTAATAATCTAGGATAGATTTGAGCTGCAACCAAGAAATGGTGAATCTGAGACGTTCTTGGCCCTCTGTGAGAACAGGCTGATTGGAATCATTTTGCCTTGTTAGGAATAACAGTCTTTGCTCTGAAATTCCTCAGGCACACTGGAAGTGAGACTGATGGGGTGTCAGAATCTATTGGAAAATGTTCCAGGACGTTCCCGAATGACGAGTTCTTCTCCCATATGTGGCAGCCCTGGTGATCTGAAGTCCCTTACCCGAACACGAGTTGGCCTAAGTATACAGGGCCGTAGCGTGGCAGGAAAGTACCTGCGGAATGAAGAGCTGTGTAGTGAGTATGGGGTTCTCTGGTGGGTTGTGAGTGGTGTTTTGGGGCATAGGATCTCTCGGTTCATATAATTGCTACCTTAGCCTGATATGAGTGTAATTATGAGAAATCTGTTTTCTGCAAACTTAAGAGAGAATGAATCACATTATGCCTAATCCTCCTAGAACTCCATCATGTATGTTTTTTCCTTTGTCCAGATGAGGTCCTTGCTGTGCTCAAAGTGGACAATAAAGTGGTTGGCCAAACAAACTGGGGACCAGTCAATAACCAGGCATGGGACCAGAGCTTTGTCATTGAGTTGGACCGGGTAAGACTGCCTTAGATTCCCCTGGGTTGAATTTGCTTTTCTGTTTCACTGGACTTGGTTCGCGCATTTAGTTGCCATTCCATGTGATTCAACTCTGTACTGGCACTGTCCTCATGCCCTTTTATGTGCCAGTTATCTTTGTCTTCCCCCCAAGGCAATGCATCTGTGGCAGAGCTTCAGCCCGAACAACATCTGTTGTCCCTCTCTCCCTATCTAAGCAGCTTTATTTCGTCTTGCCAGCAAAACTGCTCTCACAGCTCCATCTAAAATGGGGAGCAAGGACAGCCATCTCCAGAAGGATCTGTAGCTGGGAGGGTCTGAAAAGGTCAGAAAATATGGGGAAAAGGCAGGATTAAGGAAGTTTTCTTGCATAGTCTCTAGTTTACTGAGATTTTTACAGAGTAAAATAAAGATCTGTTCTGAAAGTTGCTTGGGGAAAAGCTGTGTCTGTGTACCCCGTGTCCAGAGCATGGGGCAGGATGTAACTGCTCTTTTTTTTATTATTATTATTTTTTTTATTTTTTTAATTCCTCCTCAGTCTCGTGAGCTAGAAATTGCAGTTTATTGGAGGGACTGGAGAGAACTCTGTGCAGTGAAGTTTTTACGTTTGGATGATTTCCTTGATAACGAACGCCATGGGATGTGCCTCTCCCTGGAACCCCAAGGAGTCCTTTTTGCAGAGGTACAGGTTTCAGCCTTGTTTCTTTTCCAGAGAAGCCTGTCTGGTTTGAGTGCAGCTGTTCAGCTTAGAGTGGAAGGAGCAATAATTTGGAAGGGCAGAATCCCCAAATCCATCAAAATTGCGGGTCAATATCACATATAAGAACAAGGAGCACCATGATACTATAGGATTTATGCATACCATAACCTGGAGTGACTCTTCAGAGCTGCTCTGTAATTACACTGCTGCTCTGTGAAGTCCGTTGCTTTTTATTTGTTTTCATTATGAGTCATTGGTGACGCTTTAATTAAACATATGGCTTAATGGCCATGTTAGAATTGCGCAGACTGTAGAACCAGAGATCCAGATTCCCTCTGGGTGTGTTTATTTTGTCATCTTTCTAGGCTAATAATAAAGAGCTGGAAGTATCATCAAGTACGAGATCATCCACATAATCCCTTAAAAGCCTCATTATTTAATACTTTGTGACAAAAGTTTCTGTTCACCTTTCCAAAAGGATCTTGACTTTATACTTGCAATTTGTTCTTTTTAATTAATTAAATTATTCCCATGGCCTGTCTCCAGCCCTGTAAATGATTGCGTTATACAGCAGTTCCTTATGCATGGGAATCAGTATAACTTTAGGATATGAATTGCTCTTAATTTTTTAGATTTTCTGCATTTCAGGTAGCAGAAAATTCCAGCATCTAAAATCACAGTTGAAATAACAGATATTTAGATGGTGAAGCTAGAATAACACAGTCTGGAGTCTGTCTGCAGAAGAGACTCTTCACTTACGAACAGCCATGAATGGAGAGTTTGATGAGAGAGCAGGCGTGTGTGCAAGTTTGTGCAGGGTAGGTGACGTGTCCTGACAAATCCCCTTTGCTTCTCTGGCAGGTGATGTTCTGTAATCCTGTCATCGAGAGAAGGCCCAAGCTGCAGCGACAGAAACGCATTTTCCCCAAACAGAAAGGTAAACTGCTAGAGAACTCACTCCCTTACTAGCAAGTGTGAGTGGGTTGAGAGCTAAGGTTTGCAGTAACAGGCCAGCATGCATTCTCCTCCCTTTAAATTTGTGAGACTCATTAAAATGCCTGCTAATTATTGTGTGCAAGTAAGTGGGCTTTATTACTATGTGGAAGTTTGTTCTGTCACAAGAAGTGCAGACAGCCTGGTTGCAGTACGGTATGTAATGTGATATCGCAGCGGTATTTCCACTCATAATTAAGTGTCAGGAAGATACAATTACTAGCTTTTTAATAGACTTCTTAGCACAGCTTGAGTATTGGGTATTGCTAATTTAATCAGCAGTGCTGATGCTGAAGAAAGAACAGGTATTGAAGGATTTTCTGGTAAACTCTGAATTAGAGAAGACTGTAGCATGGGCAGAGTGCTGATTGTTTCTCAGAGCTTTGGGGTTGACATCTCAAATTAATAGCTGTGGGTCTTGAATAACATGTGTACATGTTTCTATCAGTACATTTTTTCCTGTTAGTCTAGCTAAGCTAAGACTTTATATACTGGGGACTCTTGGCAGTGAAGATAAACTAAATTCTGTATTTGTGTTCTTCAAGGAGTAGTAAAAATAAGAAGATCGCATATGTTTTAGTGTTTGCAAGATGTTTTCAGAAGCTTCTAGTTAACGGGTTGCATTAATAAAAATACAGTGTAGAAATAAAATTTGACTACAGTAAAATATTTTTCATGTCTTATGTAGCTTTTACTTGAGGATTATGTTATGACATTATAGGGAGCCAAACTTGATGAAACAGATTTACTATTTCCTCTATCACTATTAACTGTTCTTCTCCCAAAGAAAGCCTGTTTTCCCTGGGATGGGTTGCCTTTTTGAATATTTGAGTATTTGAATAAAAAATATAACAATTCATGGGATCGTAATTTGTGCATCATAATGTCATTGGTGTTGGGACGTTGACTCTTCCAGGGAAAGA